GAGGCTTGAGAATTTATATTTCTAACACGTGCCAAAGTGACACTGATGCTGATAATCCAGACGCCACACCGTTCCGTCATACACCAGAGAAGTTACAGGATTTTAACCCAAGTACCACAGCCATCACTGATTAGCCATTCTAGCAGACTGCGAACACAACTCCCTGGTGTTTGCACTAATCCTGAGTCCTAGATGATGCACCATGTCCGTTAATTCAGCCTGATGGAGCCTTTCGTAGCTTCCCCCTTGGTTTGTTCTTACATTTACTCTTACCTTTGCCCCTACATGTGCTTCTCTGACTCCCACTCGTCAAGTTCTTGTCTTGCAGTGGATAGGCCACTTTATCCTGGAGCAGGTCTTACATATTCCCTTTTCTGGATTGCACTGGAATCTAGTGCTTGTTATGAGGCTGGAGGCAAAAAGAAGAGAGGGAGTGGATCTGAGAAAAAGCTATTTTGCAGAAAGAGGACTTGGGGGAAATTAGCTCCCAGCCTCCATTTTGTCCCACAGGTTCCTTTCCTCAAGGTCAAACCTTTCTTTGGCCCTGCAACTCTGCAAGTCTGCCAGGGAGGCCAGGTCTTGTTGTTAATTGTAAGGACTGTAGGTTGTTAAGACACCCTTAAGGTTGCCACAGAGACTGGACTCTACACAGGTGTTCTTCAGTATGTATCCATTGGTCTTACTACAGCATGTTTTTGTTTTGTGAGGCATGGTCTCACTATGTAGTTCAAGCTGGCTTTAACTACGTAGCACAGGCTAACCTTGAACTTGCAGTGATCTTCCTGCCTCAGCCTCCTGAGTGCTGGGATTACAGGCCTGTGCCACCATGCCAAGCATGTTTTTAATATATCTTTTTGCCCATTTATGCTCTTTAGAGCTTTAGGAAGCCAGGTGACTCCCCAAGAGATGGGGGGGGAAGGATAGGGGTAGGGGAAGTCAAAAGAATTAAGAGGTATTATTTACATGGACCAACCCCTCATGATAAATGTAATCATCATGTACTACAAATATATAGTAAGGAAAATTAAAGAAAAAAAATAAAATCACTACCCTTGACAGAGCCACTAGGTATCACAGCCACTTAATCTCCCAGTGACTTATCTTCTGCTTATTCTTCCTTCCATGCTATGACCACGATAATTTGAGTTAGTGTGATCCTACCGTATGCAAATTAAGTGTCCACTTCCGTCCTTCAAACTTCTCCATTCCTCACAAGGTTGTCCTTAAGCTCTTAAAACACCATCAACCCAAACACAATTGATTGCCTGACTAGGGTACCGGCAAGGAACAGCAAATACACCCAAACTAGCATAATTTAAATAGGGAATTATTTACATAGCCTACATGGGGTCTGGGAATATCACAAGAGCTACAGCACAGACAGCCAGGAGCCAGTAACATCTGGGCACCACCACCCTAGACTTCAAGAGTAGGCTCATGAGGAGAAGGCCATATAAAGAAAAGCAGTGACCATCAGATTAGTAACTGGGCCTGCAGCAACCTCGCAGAGAGGGAGCTAAGGGAATAAATCTCTCCCCATTTTCCCACCCTGCTAAGGATCTCCAGGGGCAACACACGAGTGGAGGCCAAAGGCAAGGGCACTGGTGAATATGGTAAGTGAGTGAGCCTCCTGGGGGGGAGGGTGGGGGGTACAAAAATCTTTAGTGCTATAAGAAAGTTCTAAACAACTGTACAAGGCACTTGCACAAAGCAGGCACTTGGATGGCTCCAGAGGTTAGACAAGAGACTGGGCTGGTGTATACATGTGAGTGATCTTAGCATAGAAATGAGGCCAGGGAAGTGGGTGAGATGACTTAAGCAGACAGAATGAGAAAAACGTGCGTCTAAGAAGTTCCACTTAAAGGTCAGGTAGAAGAGGAAAAGACGATGAAGGGGGAGAGGGAGAAAGTACAGAAGAGATGGCCAACTCTGTTGAAGTCTACTGAGATGTCACAGGACACGAAGGCCAAGGGGTGCCCCTGAGATTTAGCACCATGGAGGTCACGTCATGTTTGACAGAAATGCTTTCAGGAAAGGAGCAGGGGGGAAGCCAGCCGAAGGAGGACAAAGAGTAAACAGGTGTCGAATAAGGCCCCAAACAATGACTACGCCCAGCTCTTCCGATCAGTTTGAAGACAAAGAGGAGAAGAAAAGAGAACGGGAAAGAAAATGTGGGGTCCAGGAGTGGAATATTTTAGAATGGGACTCAACAAAACACGCTTAGATGCTGAGGAAAAGGACCCATGAGAGATGAACAAACAGATAAAGAGGGTAAATAGCAACAGGCCTCTTCTGAGAAGGCTGGAAATCAAGGATAGGGAACAGATTGACTTTGTAAAAAGACAGACAGACAGCAGCTCCATCTTGTCCGGAGGGAAAAGCAAAGGAGGGGCTACAGCTCTAGGTGGGCTCATAGGGGCTGGTGGCAGGAAAGGAGGTAATTTCCACCTGAAGGCTTCTATTTTTCTCTGTGAAGTAAAAAACGAGACATCGACTGAGAGTAAGAGATGAGATCAGGCCTCAAAACACTGAGAAATGGAGAAAATCTGAAATGGTTGTTCAGAGACACTGAAGGATGAAGGGTGAGGGGACAGGAGGATTCCCTGGGGAGGAAATGGTTTGAGGCTCAGAGGTGGTGATGACCTGGGAAGACTGCAAGGCTGGGGGATTTCCCCATGAGGAGGCTTTCCTGCCTAGAAGGAGACTTAAAGAAAAGGACAAAACAGGCTAATAAATAGGGCACTGGCAAGATAATGATGAACACAATGGCTTCAAAGAGAAATAAAGAAAAAGCAGATAAATGGCTAAGAAAAAGTAGCACTGAAGGCCTCAGCGTGGTGAGGAAAAGAACAGGTAGGCAAGCGGGCTGCAATGGGAGATCTGAGAGGTAACAAAGTCTGAGGTATGATTGGGAAGCGGGTGCCAAGGTGATTTAGAGTCACAGTGTTGACTAGGTTGCCCATGGATGCAGTACCTTCCCCCTGGAAGGCACCAAGGTTGAGAGAGAGGTACAGATAAAGTGGACAGGTAGAGCCCTTAGGGTGAAAGGGAATGGCCAGGAGGCCAATACACAAAAACAACAATAGCTGAACTTCAGAGGAACAGTCACTGTTACAGGAGGCTTTGGAGGCAGCTTCAGGGAGGGACTGAGGAGCTGGCCATTCCTACTCCTGACTGGGTAGGCACGATGTAGAATACTTAAGCGCTACAAGGGAAGCAGTGTTCTCTGGGTAAGGACGAGCTTCAACTCAGGCAAGGCAACTGGAGGCACTCCGAGGAATGAAGAGAGCACCAGAGTAGAAAGTGTCAGAGTTGAAATACCAAGTCCCCCTGATGTGAGCAGAGGCAGTACAACTGACCGGGGACTAAGAGGGGAGGTGTCACAGTCTACGAAAGGAATTGCGATTACAATGATTTCAAAAAAATCAATATCCGTGTCCAGAAAGCATAATTCCTACTTTTCAAAGTCCTACATGTACTCCAACGCCAACCGTCCTTCCTTTCCAGTGGTGTCTTTGTGCTGGTCTGGCTCTAGAGAACAATGCTAACCAGCAAGATTTTCTCCATGCTCAGGACTGTCCTTGACGTACCTCATTCCAGCTGCAGTTTGCTGAGTTTGGCATCGTATCTACTTTTGTCTCTTTATTTCCTAGTTTACCAAGTGTCACGGTTTAAATAAAAACACTCCCCTCACCCTACCCTGCATCACCACCACTAAAGGCTGTTTGGGGCCAGCAATCCCTGGATGGTTTCCTTTGTCGGCTTCTCACCACATCCTTTGACCTTGGACTTAAATGCTGTCCTTCAGTGATTTTCTCTGTATTGTTCTACCCCCTTTTGCTGTAATAGTCACTGGACAGAGTCCACAGAGGCCTCCAAAGCAGAAATGGGGAACTTTGACTCGCTCTACCCATGGGACAGGTTGTACTTTCACTGACTTCCATGACAGAAAAAGAATTTTCAGGACATGTCCATAATAGGCATAGTGGGGTTTACTATAGAATTTTTAAAGTACACACTCAAAGAAATAGAGTGGCGGCCTTCAAAAGAGAGAGACATGCTTATGGCCTTGAGCTGGGTGCATTTATGGGGGACGTGGGAGTAGAAATCTGTAGAACTTATGAATCTGTGAAAAGAGAGGATTCAATTTACAGGTGAAAAGAGACACCTCTTTCTGCAGGGAAAAGGAGATGCCCGTTCTCAGGTAACGGTCCTCACAGGTGATATGGAAAGGCCCATCGACAAGTATAAAGGAACGGCCCAAGCTTATTGTGTCTCAGGAAGGAAAAACTGTTTAAGGGTGTGTGTCCCAAACCTGCAGTTTTTATTTTTATAATTATGGTTTTCCTTGTGCCTTTTTACCTAGCTTTATTTCTTTTACCGTACCTCAGTATCCACCCTCTGTTTTCACTTACTCTTGAGACATCCTACACAGTGAATGGAGTTAACAGACAGGATGCCCCCCTGTCATCTTACAAAGAGATAACAGAAGGCTAAACTTTAAGTTCTTTCAGTTGCACCCTGGATAGTATATAAATTCTACAGTTATCATTAATAAAAACAAAAGTCAGGATGTAAATAGCAAAACTGAAGTCACCAATTTTTCCTTTTACCTTTCCAGAAAGCCCTTTTCCTTTGGTTGCCTTGTAACTTAATTACTAATTCTTACACTACAGACATTTTTTTTTTTTTTTTTTTTTGAGACAGTGTCTCACTATGTAGTTGAGACTGACCTGGAACTCACTGTGTAGTCACTGTGTAGCCCAGGCTGGTCTCGAACTCACAGTGATCCTCCTGCCGCAGCCTCCCGAGTGCTGGGATTACAGGCGTGCCACCACTCCTGGCTATACTACAGACTTTGACTTCACCTTGAGGAACAGATCACAAGTATTTGGCTCCTGCTTGGCTTTTCCTCATTCCTGGAGAAGTATATCATGCCCAAGGCTGATAGGCCAACTCAGAATAAAGATCCAGTTGAATGTGAAAATCATGATCAGGAAACTGGTTTCACTATGCAAACAGGTTAGCTTAGAGTAGTCATGGAAGAAGTCATTGCCATCTGGAGATTTTTCAACCAAAACTCTTCCCATAATTTTCAACCCATCAATTCAATGTCCTCTCTTCCACATTGTTGTTATTGTCCTGTTGGATTTTATTGTTGCCTTTAGAGTCTTTGATATTTTCTGGGTGGCTCTGTGGGTGAAGTGATTCTGTTATTAGCAGTATGTTGTTGTTGTTGGTACCAGGAATCGAACTCGGGACCTTGCGCTTATGAGGCGGGTGGCGGCATCACTGAGCTAAATCCCTGGCCTGCAATATGTTTAATACCAACTATCACTGAAAATGTTTACAAACTGCCTCAACACATAAATTGTGGCCTACCAGACCTCAGCCCTTCTCGAGGGAATAGAAAAATGGCTCATACTAGAGAAAGCCACCATGATGCGGGTAACCAGACAAAATTTCAAGAACAACTCCATGGGCCTGTCAGTTTGCTTTTTAGTAACATAAAATAAATGAATGTATAGTTAACTGTTGCTAAAGAAGATTTTCTAAATTACCAAGGTATTTAATATCAGACTCCTCCTAAGCAGAAGCCCAGTTTAGGAAGTTGACTTGAAGATACCCTGATTTGAGGGTATCCTACCTGTACCCGTTCTAAAATAATTTTGCTAGCATCTAAGGCAATTATCTTTTTCCTTATAGGCATAACTCACATTAGCTACATCAGATGAAAGTGATGGCCTTATATTCCTTGATTGTGGGAATGGTTTTCTTGGTTTCTCCTTTCCTGCTAGCTATGAGCAAGTACTTACATGGAACCCTGAGCTGAAGCGGCTGCTTAAAACTTGAAGGGAAGCAATCTCAAGGTGATTCTCTGCTTGTGGAAAATAGAATGAAAAGAAAAGAATGGGTTTCTTCTTGACATGGTTGAGCCGCTGACTGAGCCAGCTCTGGAGTCTACCTTACTTCTGAAATTTCAGTTTTGCAAATTAACAAATTTCCTTATATTTAAGTCAGTTTGCTATAATTGTTTTTACCTCAGAAATCATCACAAGTATCACACATACTCATAAATGGCCCAGTCTATGAGAATAAGCACACCGTAGGTATATGAGTTCTTCAGGGTCATTCTTGTTGATTTTTTTCTTCATTCCACTCAACTTGATTCCTAGTTATACTGTGAATTAACTTTCTTGTATTTCTTTTGCTTCCCCCATTTTTGCTAATTCTCAGAAATCTTTTTTTTTTTTTTTTCCCCGTACCGGGAATCGAACTTGGGCCCTGCACTTGTGAGGCAGGCAGATTAACTATTGAAATGTAACATTTACTTCAAATTGAATTTAAACTGGAGTTGAATCTATCTAATACTTTCAAAGTGTTTAAAGAGCCTCTGTCAGTGGCAGAAGGAGACTAAAGTCATCAATAGGGCAAGTACACACTAGAACTGTCTCTGGAGTCGGTGAAATTCCGGGAGGTCTCTCAAATATCCTTAGTATCAGCAGGGCCTCCAAATATTTGTACTCTCACCTCAGGCTCTCTTGTACTACCAAAAATTCTTGGTCTACATATGATCTTGTATCTTGTCAGTGAGTGGGGGATGCTGGAATTGGGACTGGAGAAACCCAAACGGCTGAAATTACCTTGTTCACAATTTTGATGAAATCTGAAAAATTTCTAGCCGATATTTCTTCAAATACTTTTTCTACTACTTCATTCTCCTGTTACAAGGCCACTGATGAGTATGTGCGGCACTTGTGATGCTTTCTGAGACAGCAACAAAAATTGTGTTAAATTGACTTCAATATAAGGAAATTTACTTCACAAAACTGAAATTCCAGAGGTGGGGTAGACTCCACAGTCGACAGTCCAACCATGAAGTTTGCTTACATGTAGACCGCTTGATATTGTTCTACAGGTAAATGAAGGCTTACTGTTTTACATTTCACCTTTTTCTGTCTGCTTAACAATTTCCGTAATTTTCATGTTGCTAGTTCCTAACATCATAATGACTGTGTCAGTTTCAGATATTGTGTTTTCCAGTTCCAGGATTTCCACTGAGTTCCCCCAACGTTTTATATCTTTCTTGAAATTTCCCTTTTCTTCACCTAGTATATGTGTATTTCCCTGCAGGTTCTTTAACATATTTATCATAGTAAGTTTTGTTTTTTGTTTTTGTTTTTGTTTTGTTTTGGTGCCAGGGAACAAACTCAGGACCTTGTGCTTGCGAGGCAGGTGATGGAACCACTGAGCTAAATCCCTGGCCCACTAAGTCTTTGTTAATTCTAACATTCAGATCATCTGTCAGTCTGTGTTTATTTTCTGGTTTTTCTTTCACTTTAGGTTACATTCTTATGCTTCTTTGCACAATTAGTAACTATTTTTAAAATTGTACACTGAGATTTTGGATTGATAAATTAAAGAGACTGGCTTTTCCTGTCTTCCTCAGAAGAAGGTTCACCTTTGTTTTATTTATTTATTTTTTTTTTTGAGACAGGGTCTCACTACATAGTTGAGACTGACCTGGAACTCACTATGTAGCCCAGGCTGGTCTTGAACTCACAGCGATCCTCCTGCCTCAGCCTCCTGAGTGCTGGGATTACAGGTGTGCGCCACCAAGCCTGGCCTTTTTTTGGGGGGGGGAGGATTGACCTTTGTTTTAGCAAGCAATCGAATCACTGGCACAGCACTGTATATCTCGATCCTATGGAACAAGTTCAATAGAACTTCTGTAATGTCTAATACAACAGACATTAAGTACACATGGCTCTAGGAATTTGAAATGTGGCTGGTGTGACGTAGGAACTACATTTTAAGTTTAATTTAAGGTCTTGTTTTTTGTTTTAGATGGGGGTCTTGCTATGTTGCCCAGCCTGGCCTCAAGCTCTCAGGCTCAAGTGATCTCCTAGCCTCAGTCTCTCAAGAAACCGAGACTATAGGTGCAGGCTATATGCCTGGCTTAAAATTTTATTTAATTTTAATGAAGGTTATTATATTGAATATTGCAAATATGAAGACTTGGTTTTAGGCTTTGTTACGATGGGTCTATTTTGGTTTTGCCTTTATTCCTAGGGCACAGGAGTCCTGAGAAGCAGCCCTTACTTCCTGTCACCTCGGTAAGAAGCTTTAGGCATTTTTCAAGCCTCTGTAACTTAGTGGGAATTGAACTCTAAGTTCCATCTGCCCAAAACAAGGCAGCAGCTCTTTCCAGCCTTCCAGCTGGATGTTTTTCCCTGGGTGCCCTGCACCTACCCTGAAGATGCATAATGAGAGTAATTTGTACATAGATTTGGGCTCCCCTCCTTATAGAATTCTCTGCTTCCTTACTTCCTGCTGCTATGGAAGCCTCCAAACTCCAACCTGCAATTCCCAGGCTCATCTGGGCTGCCAGTTTTTGCTTCAGCTCCATCACTATCCACCTCACTCACACTGTTCCCTTTTTGCACGGGTCATTTCTTTTCCAGTTTTTGTCTGCAGTACTAAACCATGTTAGTTTTTTCCTAGGACATTCAAATAGGTTTTGTTGTAATTATTTCGTTTTGGGTCCAGAATTTGTAATTGTCTTTGGTAGGAGGACTAATCAGATACAATTTCCTCTGCCATTATCAGAAGTTGGAACTGATCAAAATGGCCAAAATTATATACTAAAATACTGAGTTTAATGGGAAAGCTTGGCTATCCTTTCTTTCTAGCATACTCTCCTACATTTCTTTGCAGCAAAACCTTGCAGGGGCTCAATATTTGCTGGACAATTTCTGAAAATTGAAAACTTTCTTGATGAAGGGATACTTTGAAACATTATTTTTGTTTTGTTTTTTGAGACAGGGTCTCACTGTGTAGTTCAGACTGCTCTGGAACTCACTGTGCACCCCAGGCTGGTCTCGAACATGCAGCGATCTTCCTGCCTCAGCCTCCCGAGTGCTGGGGGATTACAGGCGTGCGCTACCATGCTTTTCAAACATTATTGATGGTCCATATTTACAGTGAATGATCTTTTCCTAAAAGTAGTTTCTCATATGAGAGAGGAGGTTCTTGGATGTGTCTGTCATCTGATTGCAAATACTAGAAAACCTGCCACAATTTTTGTTTAAGCAAAAAGAGGATATATTAACTAGAATAGGTTAAAATTCCATAGTAGGGGGCTGGGGATTTAGCACAATAGCACTGCACCTGCCTCACAAGCACAGGGTCCTGAGTTCAATCCCTGGTAC